CAGGTCAGCGCAGTGTTATGGTGTGAATAGGACACATTGGAAATGATTGTTTTCTAGATGTCCTTCCGTTGATCTGCGTTTTGCAGCTGTCTGAATTGACCCTAAAAGGTCGGAATTATAAATCATGAAGGAGCACCAAATAGCTAGTACCCTCTGCAATAACTGCACCAAGGCGTGGCACCATGTGATGGGTGGGCATTGGTGGGGTCAATTGCTCTCTTTTTAAGCCAAACTTTAATTTGGACTCTGGGTCATTTTTACAATGGGGAATGTAAAAGTTAAGTGGACCTTGCATTTTGAGTATGCCAAACTCCAATCCAAAACATGCACATTTTTTTAAACCTGCAAATTTAGATAGTTTGCATTAAAACAAAAAAAATTAAGTGCGTTTGTCTGAACCGGATTGCATGGTAAAAAAGCATCATGTAATCTGGTTCCAGTAAAAGAAAAAAAAAAAAAAAAAAAAAAAAAAAAAAAAAGGTGCCTGTACTTCTTTGGTGCGATTCGATGCTGAAATCACACCTCACAGAATCGCGTGTGAATTGAGGTGCAAGGTTGGCGGAACATTTCCAGCCCCTTCAAACTGCTTTATCTACTTTTCTATCATCTTTCAAATAAGAATTAGGCTAGATTTTTACAGCTCACCAAGTCTTCAGCTTTTACAACTTTGGGGTATATCATCATACTTTTAAAAAGTTAATCTAAACATATCCTGTAAATATTCAGGAACCCTTTTTCTTCTTTTATTTGTATCTGGGTGTCCAATCTGTTCTTAGTGTTCCTAAACCCAGGACCCTGCATTCACTATATCTGGTCTCCCACAGTACATGGAAATGTAATTATTTTAGTAAATATAAACTGCCAAATGCCTTTTCTCATCAGCAGTTAGAGCAGTCTTGTGACTTCTATCAGTGTCCAACAGAACAATGGTTAAAGCCTGGAGGAGAGTTTTCATTCTCCTGTAGGAAGATGCAGGACCCCTGACCTCTGGACAGTGCTAATGGGCCCTGTCCTGATCAGATGCACTCTCCCACGAAAGAAGAAGAAAAAAAAAAAAAACTCTAGCAATACACACCAAACTGAGCACGTGCAGCTTGCCCCCAAGGCTCTGTTCTATCAGGAGATGGTTTGCAGACAGTAGAAGGGGAGAATCAGAGAAGACAGGATCAAACATCTTTTTTACACACAATGCATAGGATAAACCCCTTAGGTTCCACAGTGAGTAAAACCAGTATGCTTTACTGCATATATAGGCTGATTTTACTGTTGTACAGATTGATAAGTCATGTGAGCATACTAAGTATTTTGTTGTATTTAAAAAATTGAAAAAAAAAAAATAAAGTAAAATCGCACAATAGGGGTGCCATAGGGCAGTCAGACCCTGTGTGTTCATCTATCACCCTCCAATATGTATGGGCATCCTAAGTATGTAACAGCCCAGAGACAGGGACCAAAGTCATGCGTCTCCCCAGTAAATAAAGAGAAAGAATGAAATAAAACAAAAGTTCCTGTTTAAAATGACACTTTCGATGTTCAGTGAATGATTTTTCTTTTGTCATTTAATAGCACAGGTGTGGAGGGCTCTACTAATGGCTACTGTGTAGAAATCTATTCTGTCCCAGCCAATAGTCCCAGCAGTCCCAGAATACAGTCTTGTTTGCTTTTCCTATTAGCAGTATTCACACCGCTCATGCATTATGAAGATCTATGACTGGCCTACTTTGCTTGAAAAAGGACGCAGGTTCCCCCGGGGATACATAGCAGTAACCCGAGAATACAAATTATGAACTCCGAAAACCAGAATGTTTTACCATCTTGCGTGACAGACTAACGTGACGAAAATAAACCGCCACAGCCAATGCGCTCAGACAGCAGGACAATCAATACAAATGGAGGTACAAATGTGAAATTGATTTTGCGTCGTGTTATAAAGATATGGAACCTATCTACGGGCCCCACAGAGAAATTCATAGGACACAGCTATCAATTTAGTGAAAAGAAAAAAAAAAAAAAAAAAAAAAAGAAACACAGAACAGTCTATAAATGAGAGTAAAGATACCCGGAGTATGCGGACTGAACTCTACACAGTGTTGCCACCTGGCCAGCAAAAATAGGAATTATTGCCAGTGTTATTAATAGGAAAGACACTGCCGCCAGCATTTTTTTCCCAGAAAAAGTAGCAATCTTAACTTCACATTGAGATCTAATTACCCAAAGCAAACTATTCGATTTGCAAAGCAACACGTTAACTTAAAGGAGAAGTTCAGCTTTTGTAACCAGTTACGTTATACCTGTATTCAAGGTGTAACATGTTCCTATTGCAGCAGCCCCCCAGCCCCAATGCCCCATTGTGACAGCAAGCTGGGGAATCTCTCCTCGCGGTCACAAATTAAAAATAAAAAAAAAAATCAGAAGATCAAGGATGCAATGTCAGGCTCCAGTAGAAACTCCTAACAGCTCCCACTTACAGAATGAATGACGTGTGTGATTTTTTTTTTTTTAAATTGTGACAGTAGGCAGAGGAAGAAGATCCCTCGCCTGTTGTCACGGGGAAATGGGGGGGTAGCGAGGCTGCTGCATTTGTTGCACCATGAATATGGGTGTGACATGTTACTAAAGGTGAAATTTAAGTTAAATACCAGCGCGGTACATATGAGCACATTATTTTATTTATTTATTATTTATTTCAGTTACTTCTCTAGCGCCGTCAATTTACGCAGCACTTTTACATATATATATTGTACATTCACATCAGTCCCTAACCCTCAAGGGGTGTACAATCTAAGGTCCCTAACTCACATTCATACATACACATATTAGGGCCAATTTAGACAGGAGCCAATTAACCTGGAAAATCCATGAAAAACGGCCGTTTTTCGTGGACATGGGTGGCAGCATCGGCAACGGGGCCGACCGATTTTTCATTTATCAGCCAAAAATTCGGACGATAAACGGCCCATCTATGGCCTGCCTTAGTCAGTCAGAGACACAGTCTGTTATCCACAGACATCCCTTATCTGCACAGGCAGGTTTCTAGTAAAAGGTGAACACTTTAAGGGCTCGCTCACACTTGACTTATTATTTCTTTCTTTCTTTCAGGTACTTATATAGTGCTGTCAATTTACGCTGCACTTTACATATATATTGTACATTCACATCAGTCCCTAACCCTCAAGGGCGTACAATCTAAGGTCCCTAACTCACATTCATACATACACATACTAGGGCCAATTTAGACAGGATCCAATTCACCTACCAGCATGTCTTTGGGGTGTGAGAGGAAACCGGAGTACCCGGAGGAAACCCACGCAGGCACAAGGAGAACATGCAAACTCCAGGCAGGTGGTGCCGTGGTTGGGATTCGAACCAACGACCCTAGTACTGCCAGGCGGAAGTGCTAACCATTTAGGCACAACACTGCAGGGGGCCTATGGTTTCCATCTTTTTGGGCAGAGTGTAATACCAATTTAACGTAAGCAAGTGCACCCAGGAGATAGGGTATAGTGTTTAGCCCCACTGACTGTAGCCTGTCAAAGTCTATGGCAGGCTGAAATACACTGCAGCTGGCTGACTGGTACCCACGTTTAGTTGTATGCATTCTGAGACGTATATCTGCATAGGGTCCTAATCACAAGTACAAATCAGTACAGGGTTTGGCTCTGTCCAGCTGCAACGTAATTCAGCCCGACAGGCTGCAGTCAGAGAGGGCTAAATGCTGCACCTGTGCATCCTGGGAGCACTATACACCAGGATTGGACTTTGTTTTATCCATGTAGGGCAAAGCAAAAGAATGAAAGAAAAAAAGAAAGAAAAACAAGGAGAATGATGGAATACAGACACATTATGCCTTGTGCACAGAAAATCTCTGTTGTAAAATTACATTTAAGAGGAACGGACCTAATTCAATACCAGAACACTTAAAAATGACCTCGTCAACTCTCAGGGCATTCCACCTTTCACTACAGTACAGCTCATATGGAATATGATATCGGCTGCTCCTTAAGTATCACTAAAGCAAACCTTTCTTTTTTTTCTTCCGTAGATTTAGAATTACTATTGCATGCAATACAAGGATGGCCATACACGGTAACAAAAATACAAATCTCTGCATGTTTGGATGATGGAATCAGAATACCATAAACTTTGTTTTTAGAGGAAGTTGCAGGTGTAACCGGTTTCTTTTTTTTTTCCTAAAACTAGTAGTAATTTAAAGTATACCTTGAAGGGAAAGTACACTTTTAAACACAAACCCCATTTTGCAATAGCCCTGAGCCTCATAACTCTATAGGGTAATTCATAGATGTAGACTTAAGGTGGGAATACACGATTAGAAAATCGATCGTTCGGTCATCCGACGACTGAGAGGCGTTCGTTCGTTGGTCAAAATCCTGGCCCACATTAACCTCCCTAGCGGTCTAAATATGTCCATATTTCTGTGCTCAAAGCGGTACATTTTTTTGCATGGAAAGAAGAAGTAAATTTTTTTATTGTAGGCCTGTAATTTTTAGGAATAACTCACTGAAATCTGTCCGAACAAGAGTCTATTAAACATCCCGGGTATGATAAAATTTGAAACATGAAATCATAAATTATAATTTAATAAATAATCAAAAAAAATTATAATATAATAATAAATTTAATTCAATAATATAATCAAACCAAAAACATTGAAATCTGAAATATAGCGCCAAGTTCGTACATCACTGAGCAAAGTCGCAAAATCGTTTTCAGTGTCTGATGATGAATTTCCCCACGAATCATTATCACTCAATTCTGCAAGTGGTTCTGATTTACTATCGCTGTTCTCTAGCCGATCTAAAACCGCTTTTGACCTAAAGGGACACTTTTTGGACGCCATGGACTTTTCTCAGTTTCCAGGCAGATAGAACAGTAAAAATGCAGGCAGGGCGCAGGACAAAGCACTCGGGACAAAATGTATGTGAAATGGTTTGATACAGGAATGTTTTACTATGTGATTTTAGTGAATTTAGAGAATGTCACTTTTTGTCATTTTCAAATTTCCCGCCAGTTCCGTCCCCCGTACGTCCCGACGTCGCAGAGAACGGAATCCAGATGACAGATGGCATCTGCCGGAGGAGATTACAGGGGACACTGCAGGAGGGACATCGTGGGATTGAAGGACAAGGTAGCAGAAGAACAGATCCCGGAGCAGCAGCCCATGGAAAGCCCGAGTGTAGCTCAGGGTTACCGCTTGTGGTACTGAATCTTTACCCCGAGCTACACTTGGGAATACCTCCGGGGAAGTTAACCAATCTAAAAAAAATGGTTTGTCGGGCATTACATAGTGTTGACGTCTTCTGTACAAGTGGAAGTGATGCGGTGTGCATGTGACCTTGTAGCCACGCCCTTCCGGCCAGAACAAGCGATATACACAATTCCCAGCAATGAGTATAATATTGTTTATTTCTATTTCCGCTCATGCGTGATAGCGCTTGATAGATTTTTTTCGTACGACCGTCATACCACCGTATAGAAAATTGATCTTTTGTATGCAAAACGACAACATTTTTCACTGTTGTTCAACCGGATTTTTTCATTCATGATATCGTTAGCGGTTAAAAACATCCTGCTCATCAACGAAGAGAATCGTTCGATCCATGGTTCCGCTAAATTTTTCATACGATTTTCTTATCGTGTGGAGGGGGCATAAGCCTACCACCCCCATCCAGCCTACCCAGGGATGGGGACAGTTTAAATCCTCCAGCTTCCTCCATAAGCAATGTCAGGCCTATACAAAGAATGTAATGGCAATGGCCATCTCCAACCCTAGCTCAGCCCATTTGTAGGAAAAGACGATTATTCTGTACGGATCAGCCCAGAGCCTGTGCAGCGATGACAGTGCACTGGAGGATGTAAACATTGCCTGGCTTCAGGCAGATTAGAGAGTGAAAACTTCCATTAGTCTGCTATTTAGCACTTGCTTCCATTGCCTGCGGTGTTATGTATTTTGTGTAGGCAGGATGTAGGGACAAACAAATCATTTTCTATAGGATCCGCTTTCAGCAAATAAACTCGTGCTGCATTTATAGTTCTCATGCACAATGGACGTTTTTACTGCAGCTGTTTTTGGCTTTTATTTCTACAGCCAGTAACCCCCCCCCCCCCCCCCCCCAGCATGTTATCCTATGTGTCCATGCACACATAGGCTGTAATCAGCATTTTTTGGCCGAGGCATTTTTTTGGCTGGAAAAACAACCCAGAGCTTGGGGGTTTCTAGAGGCATTTGTTAGCTTTAAAAACTTTTTTTTTTTTTGCAAAAATACTTTTCTTGGGTGTAAAAAAAAAAAAACCGCTAAAAAAGCAAAAATGCAGAAAAACGCAGCTAAACGCCAATGTAAAAATGCTGAAAAACTTGACTTTTTATCCTGACTTTACACAACTAAAGCGAACGGTGTTATTAAAACACTCATGTGCATGGAGCCTTAGTGTGTTGCTGTGAGATTCAAGTCACTGGATTCTTCAAAAATGCAGCACAGCGAGATGCATATAACAAGGTCTTACCACGAAGCAAGTTCCTATATACTGTACTTGTAAGGCTCTTACATAGAAGCATATGTATAGGGTCTGTATTTGTGGCGTCTGCGAGTCACAACTGCTGCGTACTTCTTCCCATAAACATGTAATACAGAATATGCTATATGAGGCTAAATGCACATGAACACCAGTGCTTGTGATTACACACCAATCTATTTCTCTGAGCTCAGAAAATACATCTAGGCATGGGAAAGGCCTCGTTCACACCTATGCGTGTTGCGATTGATACATTTCTGGCGCATTTTGTGTTTTCATAGCCTCCCTAGCGGTCTGATTATGTCCATATTTCTGTGCTCAAAGCGGTAAAATTTTTTGCATGGAAATATGTATTTTTTTTTTATTGTACGCTGTAATTTTTAGGAATAACTCACTGAAATCTGTCCGAACAAGAGTCTAGTAAACATCCCGGATATGATAAAATTTGAAACACAACAAAATCATAAATTATAATATAATAAATAATCATGAAAAATAATAATGTAATAATAAATTTATTTCAATAATATAATCAAACCAAAAACACTGAAATTTGAAATATAGCGCCAAGTTCGCACATCGCTGAGCAAAGTCGCAGAATCGTTTTCAGTGTCTGATGACGAATTTCCCCCACGAATCATTATCACTCAATTCTGCAAGTGGTTCTGATTTACTATTGCTGTTCTCTAGCCGGTCTAAAACCGCTTTTGACCTAAAAGGGACGCTTTTTGGACGCCATAGACGTTTCTCAGTTTCCAGGCAGATAGAACAGTAAAAATGCAGGCAGGGCACAGGACAAAGCACTAGGGACAAAATGTATGTGAAATGGTTTGGTACAGTAATGTTTACTATGAGATTTTAGTGAACTTCACTTTTGCAACTTTCAAATTTCCCGCCAGTTCCGTCCCCCGTACGTCCTGACGTCGCAGGGAACGGAACCCAGATGACAGATGCCGGCATCCGCTGGAGGACATTACAGGGGACACTGCAGGAGGGACATCGCGGGAGCGCAGGACAAGGCAAGTCAAGAGGAGATCCTGGAGCAGCGCCACATGGTAAGCCCAAGTGTAGCTCGGGGTTACCGCTTGTGGTGCTGAAACTTACTCCGAGCTACACTCGGGAATACCGCCAGGGGGGTTAACATGCATTTTGTTGGGGGTTTTGTTGCCAATAGGAAAGTATTGAGTGCGACTTTGATTGGACTTTACACACTGTCACTCAAAGTCACATCAAAGTAGTGCAGGAACCTTTTCAAAGTCGCAGTGACTTGGAAAATGTTCCTGCACTACTTTGATGCAATTTGAGTGCCAGAGATATAAAGACACAGCAAAGTCGCACTCAATACTTTCCTATTGGGAAGGGGAAGATAACGCATCAAAAATGCAATATTTGCGTTTCTGGTGCAGTTCCATTGACGTCTATTGCACCAAAAACACAATCTGCTGCTGGGAAAAATCCTGACCCTTTTAAAAAATACAGCAGCTGAAAATGCATAAATGTAAACGTGCCCTATAGGAAACCATGTTAAATGGGCTGTAATGCATTATTGCAAAACGCACTAAAAAAATGCATAGGTATGAACCAGGCCTTAACGAAAGTACCAGCTTTTACATGTGTATTGTGTATTCTGTAAAGCATGTCAAGGGGCAGATTTGCACAGCAGCTGTGACTTCCAGGTGCACAAATATGGCGCATTTTACCCTGTATGACCATATGTCCCTGTATACATCTGTGTGCAGGAGCCCTTTCTGAGAATGAGCCTTTGGGAATGCGATAATGAGTATGGAGGCTTAACAGCATTACTGATCTAGAAACTGTGCTAGATGGAGGGAAAAAAAAATAGAAAAACAGGATATTGGAAGGCGATCAAATCTACAAAGAAATGAGTTTTCGAACATTCCCAACCACCAACAGGAAACCTATCAATGGAGGAATTTCAACATTTTAAAGGGCACAAAATCCCATGAATTTATTGTCCATAATATAATCCATAACAATTTTAATATGCAGAGCTCAGCAAATGTAACACCAACTAAATTCGGCCGCAAAAACTACTTATGAAAAAAAAATATAGATCTATCTATCTATCTATAGATATATATATATATATTATATATATACACACATATACACATATACACATATACACACACACATATATATATTTATATTATACACACATACATATCTCTATATACATACACACACACATTTTAAAGAGCTGAAAAAGGTGTATGAGTGAACTCCATCTAATAAAAGGCAGAAGTGCATCAAACCGATAATGACTAATCTGTGACTACTGATACCGGCTGAGGCCTACCACACATCCTGGATCACTCCCAACTAAGGCCACAGTGAGCACTCTGATATAAAAAAAACTCTGAAAGTAGGACTGACACAAAAAAATGAAACCTGTCACAAAGTTGCTAATAAAAAAAAAACACTTTTTTTAGCGATTTAAAACTCATTGCAATGCCTTTCTAATGTAACCTTTGCTAGGCCATTGGCCATGCGACTGCTAGCAAACAAAAAACATTTTGGGATTACTGTCATCCGACATCTGGTAATAGAGATCTGCTCTGTTTCCTGCTCGCCAATCTTTATTTGGAGACTAATAAGGATGATCGTCAGTGAGCTGATCTTCCCTTATCAGAATATTATATGCAAAAAAAAAAAAAATAATGGTGTTGGAGAGCCATAATGGGGCCCATGGAGGTAGTAGGAGTCCAAAATAGGTTAGCTTCAACAATTTTTTTTTTTTTGTACTTTTTTACTAACATGAAAGCATGTCACACGTGTATGAAAACACACACCGCACACGACGACTGCCAAGGCAGCCATTTTTTTTTTGGAAGCCTATGGAGACCCCCAATCAGCTACCAGCAGAAGCAAAAAAAGCAACAGAACAGGTTAGAAAACATATTCCAATATCTACAGATAGTTTGCACAAGATCTCTTTCTTGCTCCACCTGCTTTAGCACTCCGTTGAAGAACGACGAAGGGGCATGGGGCCCTGAAATATGTTAATAGAGGTAGGTACTCCTCTACTTCCAGGATACAAGCTCAGTCCCCTCTACCACACTTTTGGGGCCTTTGTACGTTTCCCTTCCATGGATTCCTACAGTGACCATCCCAGTTTGCATTTCTGTTATTATAATACAGGATTTATATACACACATATCATATATCTATATATATATATATATATATATCTATTTTACTATACACTTCAGCCTGGCAGTACTAGGGTCGTTGGTTCAAATCCCAGCCATGCTACCTCCTGCCTGGAGTTTGCATGTTCTCCCTGTGCCTGCGTGGGTTTCCTCCGGGTACTCCGGTTTTTCCTTCCACACTCCAAAGACATGCTGGTAGGTTAATTGGATCCTGTCTAAATTGGCCCTTGTATATAAATGTAAGTTAGGGACCTTAGATTGTACACCCCTTGAGGGTTAGGGACTGATGTGAATGTACAATATATATGTGTAAAGTGCTGCGTAAATTGACGGCGCTATATAAGTACCTGAAATAAATAAAAAAAATATAGTGCCAACAGTTTACACGGCACTTATTATAGCCATTGGCTACCTATGAAAAGCGTTCTCAGTATCTGTTGATGATGCCCAGTGATTGATTGGAGTTTTACGTGGTGATCCGGTTTGAATAAGTCACTTTATTGTAAGTGCAAATGTATCATTTTCTTTCATTACTGTATTGTAACTGTACTGTCTTCCCTCATGTTGCAAAGCGCTGCGCAAATTGTTGGCGCTATACAAACCCTGTATAATATTAATTAAAATGTGTTTTTGTCAGCACAATCCAGTGTGCTCTGTTCTGTTTTAATTTTTGATGTTTATATGACCTCTAGATATATAGAGAGCTGGAAAGGATCAGTGGACCTCCCTTGGTACCAGTAAACGCAGTACATATGAAGTCTTTTTACTCCACTCACAAACTCAGTGCTTTAAAAGGCTAAGTTCATCTCTTGTAACATGTTATACCCGTATTCGGGATGTAACAGTGAGTGTGGCATCTTCTCCCCCCCCTCGATGCCACAATCTAAAGAAATGCAGCTGTGTGGGACCCCATCCGCCCGTCTACATCATCCATCCAGTGTTCTGTGAAGAAGTGGAAAACTACAAGTCCCAACAGACTTTACCGCCCACGGCTTTTAGTTCTCAATGAACTGCCATGGTACGGTTGAGCACTGTGATAGTTCATGGTCTCTTCCTACCTGTAGCAAACAGTTTCACAGACATCTGCAGCAGTCCTGCATGGTACCGATGATCTGCTGATCATGGGTGTAATGCTTTACAGGCTCCACGGTAGAAAAAAAATTTTTTTTTTTACTTTCAAAAAGATGTGCATTTTTTTTTTTTTTTTTTTTTTTTAGAAAGGTGAACTATCCTTTAAAACAGAACTATAGGAAAACCTTTTCCCATTTTTGATAGAGTAAGAAAGGGTTATAACCCCTCAGATTTTTTTTTCCACACCATCTGTGTGTCCCATTGGGGAGATTTCCCTTCACTTCCTGTCCTATAGCCAATCCAGAAGTGAGGAAATCCCTGCAAATTAAGGGAATCCCCTGGGATCCCCAGAACTAGTCTCCCCATTGGAGGATTTCCCCTAACACTTTTTCAAACATCCCAAAATTTGGGATTTTCTTTTACTTTCAATGATAATGGTAAACAGGACATAGAGAGAGGGGGGGAATCTCCCTTAATGTGGGACAGACAGCAAAAAAAAATAAACTGACAAAGTGTTCTAATCCCTCTCTACTGTATCGAAAAAATTGCCTTTAGTTATACTTTATGATTTTTTTTTTTTTTTTTTTTAAGTTTCGAGGCGAATGGATTGAACACACACATTTAACTACCCTCTACAGTCTATAGCCAGCCTTTCATACGGCTAATTATACACCTTGTTCCATTGCATCATTCTGAACACACATTCGAGCTGCTATTCGGTAAACAATACAATAGGCTCACCATCCTTACAAAACACATGTAATGAAATCACGACTGAGCACACCCAGAGAGGCAATTAGACAATGGGGTTGAGTTACTAAAACTGGAGAGTACAAACTCTGCTGTGCATAGTAGCCAATCAGCTTCCAGGTTTTAGTTCCAAAGCTTAATTGAACAAGCTGATTGGCTACCATGCACAGCTGCATCAGATTTTGCACTCTCCAGTTTTAGTAAATCAACCCCTGTGTACTTCACTTCAGTTGGCTCCCAACATTTTAATGAGAGAAAGTGCAAAATCTGTTGTGCATAGCAGCCAATCGACTCCCGGGTTTCATTTCCAAAGTTTAATTGAACAAGCTGAATTTAGAAACCGATTGGCTCCCATACACAGCTACACCAGATTTTGCACTCTCCAGTTTTAGTAAATCAACCCCTATGTACTTCACTTCAGTTGGCTCCCAACATTTTAATGAGAGAGTGTGCAAAATCTGTTGTGCATAGCAGCCAATCAACTTCCAGGTTTCATTTCCAAAGCTTAATTGAATTAGCTGAATTTAGAAACCGATTGGCTACCATGCCCAGCTGCATCAGATTTTGCACTCTCCAGTTTTAGTAAATCATCCCCTATGTACTTTACTTCAGTTGGCTCCCAACATTTTAATGAGAGAAAGTGCAAAACCTGTTGTGCATAGCAGCCAATCAACTTCCAGGTTTCATTACCAAAGCTTAATTGAACAAGCTGAATTTAGAAACTGATTGGCTCCCATGCACAGCTGCATCAGATTTTGTACTCGCCAGTTTTAGTAAATCGTCCCCTATGTACTTTACTTCAGTTGGCTCCCATTTTAATGTCCAATGTGCTCTTGACAGTGGAAGAACATTTTTGATTGCTGTTTGAAATGATCTGCTGGCCCCTAGGCTGGACCAATCTAATGTAAAGCAACACGGGTTTACCAATGCAACTTCATGAAGGCTAATCGTAAAGAAATTGCCGCACTTTACGTCAGCTTTGTGCAATAAAACCTCAGCATATATGGCCACCACTGCAAACTGTAAAGGAGTTTGTTTTTAGAAGATATCCTACCAGTAATACAACAGCCACCAGACGGATCTGAACTTCATTGCACAATAACACCCCCCCGACATATGGAATAAAAATCTAAAGTAACAAACCACATCATTGATTTAAAGATAAGAAAAACTATTAAACTTTACGCCTTTTTCAGGATTTGTGATCGCTCTACAATTTCCTTCACTACTCAGGTATAAAGTTCAATTCAACACTCTAAAAAAAAAAAAATAAAAATAAACTTGTCTGGAGGGAAATATGGGGCTGCCATGCTGAGCGGTCCTGCAAATATAAGCTGCTTGAAGTCTCGCTGGCGATCTTGTTTGAGAAATTTGAATGACTTTCCTGGAAGTTAGCAGAACAGCAGCTTTGACTCAACCTAGTTGGCATGTCTGTGCTGGATCTCCGGGGGTACTAAACCTAGACACAGCCAGGCAATTCGCCTTTTCAGGAGTTCAGTAATGGCAACCGATATTCCTTTCATGACAAGTCCCCGTCACATCTCAGCAACAACAGGTCAATTTTACATTAGGCCACTGCAAAAGATTAATTCGGCAACGATATAAAAAAAAAAAAAAATATCCTTTGTATTATAACAGGTAAACAGAAAACGGGTGAAACCTCCCAAATATATCATTCACACCAACGCACGAGGAACTGGAATGTACTCACTGCAGACAGTCATTGCAGAATCCATTCACGCTGCAACAGCTCCAGAAAGGAAAATCCCTGTTGTGTTTATTCCTTTAAATGTTATGTGAGCCCGATAATGCTTTCTCCCTGCAAAACCTTTAAACTCCGCATCCACGTGGGCTAAAAACAGGGCTCTCTTAAAGATGTACTCCTGCCTGCCGAACGTGCATCTGTGAAGGAGCAAAAGCCTGCTCTGAGCAAAGGTTACATTTGAATAATTGAAACTAACGAGAGGCGTGACGGAGAAACCTGATGGGGGTTTGGTCACATGATCACTCAGCAAACACTGCTTCCTGAACTCAAATCCGTCTTAAAGGAACACCCCAAACACGTGGAGGCTGTGCTAGCAGGCATCAAACTTTTTTTTTTTCAAAAAAAGAAAAAAAAGATTTCAGGTTGTATGCATTGCAAAAAGAGAAATTCTAAGATAAACTATTATTTTAAAAGTATATTTAAAAATAACACTTGCTAGCCGTTCCCACCACAGGCAGCTCAGTGTGGTTTTTTTCTGCATCAAAAACACATGGACAGTAGGTTACATCAGTGTTTCTCAACTCCAGTCCTCATGGACCCCCAACAGGTCATGTTTTCAGGATTTCCATTATTTTGCACAGGTGATTTGATCAGTTTCACTGCCTTAGTAATTACCACAACTGTTTCATCTGAGGGAAATCCTGAAAACATGACCTGTTGGGGGTCCATGAGGACTGGAGTTGAGAAACACTGGGTTACATGGATTTCAATGGCAAACTACCATCGAGAAAAGTATAACAGAATGCATTTTTTTCTGCAAGGAAATACACTGGAACAGGGGCGGACTGACAACTCATGGGGCCCCCAGGCAATAGGGGATCATGGGGCCCCTGTGTCCTTGCCCAAACTCAAAAAAGCCTATGAAAAAGGTACCAGGGGCATCTCACGGGGCCCCCTATTGCCCCCGGGCCCTCGGGCAGTGCCTGAGTTTCCAAATGGTCAGTCCGCTCCTGCACTGGAATGTGGCAAAACGCAGCAAAAATACACCAGAACGCATCTAAAAACATCAAAAACGTACCAGAACAAATTACAGCCAAAAAAAAAAAAAAAAAAAAAAGTAACAAAGTTTAAAAAAAGAAAAAAACAAGAGGGGAAAAATTAAAATGCATCAAAAACACACATGCACAAACGCATCCAGAATGCTTTTCTGTGAAGCAAAAGAGTCAAACATTCACACACAGGTATTATAAAGCAGAGTATCTTGAATTGTATTATTGTGTATTGTCTCCCTTTATATTGTAAAGTGCTGAGCAAACTGTTGGCGCTATATAAATCCTATAATAATAATATCTCTTGTTTAGCGACGTATATGCAGCAGTTATTTGGGTATTTGCAAACTCTAATCCTGCAATCCTGGTCAGCTAAAGCTGCCCACAGGTGAGTAGAAAAAACAAAGAAGAATTAAAAAAAACAAAAAAACATTAAAATGTTCTTCTGATCTAACATTTGATGGCCCAATCATTGTATTAGAAATGTCCAGCAAATTGCACCATTTTCCTGATCATTTTTAATATTAAACATTTTTTCGATCAATTTCTACTACTACCCTTACTGCTATTGTGCAATTAACCAAATTATTTTTTGGAATGATTTACCTGCGAACAATTAGGAAATCGTTTAACAAAAAATTCCAACACGTTTGTTGTATGGTTACTGTGCATACTGCGACAGTCTATCTCCATTTCAAGATCAAAAATAAATAAAATCGAAAGATCGGTCTACCAACTCGATTTTTCATTTGATTTTCTGTCTATGTATGGCCAGCTTAAAGCGGAACTCCAGTCAAAAAAAAAGCCAGCAGCTACAAAAACTGTAGCTACTGATTTCTAAAAAAACAGCCACTCACCTGTCCTACAGTGTACTTACCGCAGCCAGTTTCACCGGCCGTTTTCACTCCCTGGCATCTTATGTGTGGGAACCTGGCTGTGACAGCTTGTGACTTCACAGCCGGGTGCCCACTACACATGCGCAAGTAGCACTGTGCCTTGTGAATGGTCCCGTAGTCTTCTGGGACACGAGACATGTCCCAGAAGACTGCCGGGGGGAGGGGGGGGGGGTGTCAGGGGAGGTTAACTTCTGCTTCCGATTGACTAGGTGATCAGAAGTGGGAGTGGATACCTGTCAAATCGGGTACCCATTCATTAAAGATGCAAATTCCTCATGGGGAGCGAGGGACTAGTACTTAAAGCTGAATTTCTCCTTTTAGGTGGAGCTCCACTTTAATAAAGCTAGTTTTCTAAAGCCACACACATTTAGATTTCTCTTTTTCAGCCAGCGGGAAAACCACTCACTTCTGGCAGCAAGATCCTGCTTATTTCTATACATCTGTGTGCATGAAGGCAATAGTAAAAGCACTATTAGACCTACTTAGGGTGAGGGGTCTATAAAATCTGGTGGATTTGTTGTCCACGTAGTGGAGAGAGGCACTGTCTGATAGACATCCAATTGAAGACATTTACATGACAGGCTGACAACACTGCTGCCAATTGTGCAGTAGTGGCTTAGTGTTGTCAGCAAAACAGAAAGTGCTGTTACTGGCAGGATTCTCATTTCAGAAACTTTACAACAGGCATGCACAGCTGCACTAAATATAAAAAGTAATAGGAGCTGCCAGGGAGAAGAGCCTTGCGATCCTGTAAGCGTCCGGGGGAGACTTGGTACCACCATACATGTTAACCTTAACTATGGGTATAAAGTGGAAGGTGAGCCTTTAAGAAAACCATATACAGTGGGACATGATGCCAAACCAGCACTGCCAAAAAAAAAAAAAAAAAAAAAAAAAAAATCACACGAGGCGCAACCGGCGTCTCCACTGGAGCTAAATGCCCAGCCAAGACATCCTGACAGCAGAGAATCCTTTGAGGACTGAATGTTATGACTAGTACTGACCCTTGCCAGGTACTTAAGAAGGAGAGAGAAAAACAAGTTCCCTCCTACCAGTCCCAAGGAGGAATACTGTGGCCCACAAAAAAAAAAAAAAAAAAAGGAAAGGAATCTTATGGAACTGCACAACTCCCAGTCTTCTTCCTGGATCCTCCTGAGACATGTCCTCCTTTCCCCATTAGGATTGAAAAGGGTTCCATTTGGCAACATATCTCCTATGGACATGGGAAACACAAAAACTGAATTGTGTACCTGTAGGAAGGACCACCTTTTAAAATTCTAATCTGGCAATGTGTTTCCTGTCCTGGAGGAACTCCATATCTCAGAGGCTGTTCTTGAGGATTTTCAAGGTTTTTTTTATTTATTTATTTCAGGTACTTATATAGCTCTGTCAATTTACACAGCACTTTACATATATATTGTACATTCACATCAGTCTCTAACCCTCAAGGGGTGTACAATCTAAGGTCCCTAACTTACATTCATACATACACATACTAGGGCCAATTTAGACAGGAGCCAATTCACCTACCAGCATGTGTTTGGAGTCTGGGAGGAAACCAGAGTACCCGGAGGAAACCCACGCATGCACAGGGAAAACATGCAAACTCCAGGCAGGAGATGCCATGGCTGGGATTCAAACCAACGACCCTAGTACTGCCAGGCGGAAGTGCTAACCATTTAGCCACTGTGCTGCCCGTATGAAAGGTTTATACACATTTTTAACAGAAACCTATACTAAAAAAAAGCTACCTGCTTCTGGAGATGGTAGTGGTCTTAGAGTGCTGGAGTGACTTTCTAGTACTGGATTTTGCACAGCACATCCGCTGGAGTCACTACAAGCACCCCCACTTGGATCACATTTGGTTCATGACCATCAAAAATGTGAAGCTTCACACAAGATTTAACTCGCTCTTTGGGGGTCGAACGACCCTTTCACAGGGGTCACCTAAGACCATCAGAAAACACATATTTCCGATGGTCTTAGGAACCGAGACACCTCTCCTCTATCCGTCTCCAGCCGGGTCCGCCCACATGCAGATATGCCCACATACGAGTAGGAGAACAGTCAGCAGTGATGACACCTGACCCCTCTACCCCAGCCTATCATCTCCCACAACATCCGCCCCGCCCATTGTCTGCACTGCTCCCCCAATCATCGCTGAGCGGCGACATCATCCCCAGCTCTAAATGCGGGGTGGGGCTTATCGGGATTAAACTAGAACTTGACCAACCAGACGAGGTGACGTGTCAACGGGAAGCGCCAGTGAAGAAGTTTTGATGTCCTCAGATTGGGCATGGCCTCTGTCAGGGAGTCGGCTAGCTGGGGACTGGGTGGAGGAGGGGGGACAGTGGATCCAGATGGTGGGGCGGTGTGGAGGTGAGAGCGGGCCGTGTGTGAAGAGAGCTGGCTGCTCTGTGTGGTGGGGGATGAGGGAGGTGTGACGCCTTGTATGGCGGAAATGAGAAGAGCTGCTGTTCTTCCTGGCAGTGTGTGCTGTGAAGGGGAAGGGGGAGCTCCTGGCTGCTGCCATTGTTGATGTGGGATACCTGCAGATGTCTCCTCTGTACACTGGGGTTCTGTAGTGTGATGACCCCATAGAGGTGTCACTTAGGGCTGATACTCAGCACTCCTCCTCCTGTGTATAGCTGAGTGCTAGTCCAGTCCCAGGGAAGGTCTCAGTGGGTGTGTTGGGAATACCTGTCCCGTGTGTACGAAGGCCTCATTTATAGGGGAGTTCCTCAGTGTACCCCTGTGTGAAGGCCATGGATCATGTAGAGAAGAACGTTAAGAAAAGAAAATATAGTGCGGATTTTTACTGTATGGTTTTACCTCAATAATTACAGCAGGAATTGAGAAACCGCATATCAGATATTTACATTATGATTCATAATAGTAGAAAATTAGTTATGAAGTAGCAACGAAAATAATTTTATGGTTGGGGGTCACCAGAACATGAGGAACTGTATTAATGGGTTGTGGCATTAGGAAGGTTGAGAACCACTGCTCTAAAGGTGGGGGTCCTAGCAGGATACCACATGGACACTTGAGATCTTGACCTGCAAGACTTGCATTCCTAAAGGAATTGCCTTATGTTTGTGATGCATGCATAAAAATGACACCTACTTGAATAATCCAGAAAAAAAAAGTCTGACTTCAGCACTAGTCTATGCATGCAAACATGTAAAGAATGGGAGCGCAGGGCATTAAACTGTCATATTTACATTCTTTAATGTTAAAATAACTCCCAACTCTGGCGGCTAATGCTGAAATGGTAAATATCCATAGAAAGCAGACTCCGTGAAGGATCATTTATGATGCATCCTTTCTGTGATAAATAAATGAACAGAAAGTTACTGGGATCTCTTTTTTTGTGTTTGCAGGCACTTCTTGGAAGAATATGCAATGCTCTACAAAGTATTTGGACTGTAGCAGGAAGTTAAAGCAGGGCTGGACAGATTCCCAAGAGTCATGTACACAATGCATCTAATACATTACAGCATTTGGAGTATTTTCCATCACTGTCTATAGAATTATGCTTTTCCTGGCCTTAACAGTACGCACTTCCTGCCAAATGATGTATTACGTTGTTCAGCCCTGAAATACCTGCAACTAAACCAAATACAAAGTGTTACAAAGATCTTATATTAAGCAGAGTGACAGAAACATGAGCTCGTGGCTGCTTCTCATTACACTGTCCTGTCACGGGTAGGCAAGCCCATGACAGCTTGGGCTCAGAGGAAGAAGACTCAATAATGCATGACATCAAACGGAGGACATCTAGTGAAAGGAAAAAATGCTGGCCTACATAAACCAATGGTACAAACCATTACCAAAAAACAAAGTGAAAAAGTATATAAACCAATAATTAGAAGAAAAATATCAGTGGAAAAATATTAATATAAATATAGATGTATGATATATATATATATATATATATATATATATATAGATCTATATATATACCGTATTTTCCGGCGTATAAGACGACTTTTTGACCCTTGAAAATCTTCTCAAAAGTCGGGGGTCGTCTTATACGCCGGTATACGGCATGCTGACACTTTTTAGGGGGGCGGTGCGGTGCCACCGCCGCCCCCC